CAACAATAACTATAATAATAACAACAATAATAATACATTTGATCGTACTAAAAGTAGTAGTAGTAGTAGTGGCGGTAGTGGTAGTGGTAGCAGTGGTGGTAACGACGTTGACGATTTCGTACTAAGATTTTTGCCGCTGTGGAAGAGCAGGCTTTTGCAGTATAGAGGTTTGTGTTTTTTTTTTTTTTTATAAAAATAATTTTTTATTTTTATGTTCATCATCGTTGTTGTTATTTTTGTTGTTATTGTTATCAGCATCACCATCGTCTTCATCATCATCATCATCATCACTATCGTCATCATCGTCGTCGTCATCATCGTCATCACCACCACCTTCCTCATTATTATCATCAAAATTATTCCCGTCATATTTCTTGTAGCAATCGTCACCCCACGTAATTACGACCGTCATTTTTTTCAACGTTTCATCATCTTCATCATCATCTCCATCATCATCTCCACCATCATCATCTTCATCATCATCATCTCCATTATCAGCATCTTCTTCTTCCTCCTCAGTATCATTAGCTTGATGTGTGTGCATGAGAATGTGTGAGTGAGTCTTTGCATGTTTGCTTGTGGGTGTGTGTGTATGATTGAATGTGTGTATGTGTGTGTGAATGTGTGTATGTGAATGTGTACGTGTGTGTGTGTGGACAAAAAGAGACACACAAAATATTGGATTCCATCGATTCTCTAAGTATCGTCTTTTCTTTCGTTAAACAAATTGCATTCTGATGATTTTTTTAAACAATTGAAACCAATTAGCGTAAAGAACCATACAAGCAGGCACGCACACACATACTCACACACATTCATACACAGAAATATGCTTACATACACATATACAAACATATACATACAAACAAAACATACACACATACATACATACATACTATGTATACATACATACAAAACATACATACAAACTTACAGCGAGCTTATACGCATACAAAACAAATAAGCACGCAAACATGCAAACAAATCTGCAAATATACAAACTTAATTATACACAAACATACAAACAAACGAACAAACATTTACAAATGTATACAAACATACAAACAAACATTTACAAGCATATACAAACTAAATTATATACAAGCATACAAACAAACAAACATTTCCAAACATATACAAACTTATACAAACAAATGTAAACATGGGCAAGCGATGTTTTTAATTCCGATGCATCAGACATTATACCTATGACGGTTACGAAGCTGTTGTCGGTATCGTTCCCCAGCAATCCCATCACTCAGGCTCTCTCTTGTTTTGTATTCAGTGTTCGTTTAGATTTGTATGTTTTTTTGTATGTTTTGTTTTTGTATTCGTATGTTTGTATATGTATGTTTGTATATGTATGTATCTGTATGTTCGTGTATCCTTGTATATGAATGTATCTGTATATTGCGTATGTTTGTATGTGTATGAATCTGTATTTATCTGTATGTTTGTATATGTATGTATCTGTATGTTTGTGTATGTATGTTGTGAACGTCTTTACGATTTTTTATGAGTTTGTTTAAACGTTTTAAATAGATGGTTTTGTGTAAAATACAGTAACAAAGTAGCAAATGGAGAAGTCATCAAAATGTATCTGTGTTTGTATCTGTGTATATATCTGTGTTTGTATCTGTGTACGTATATGTGTTTGTATCTGTGTATGTATCTGTGAATGTATCTGTGTATGTATTTGTGTATATATCTGTGTATGTATCTGTGATCTGTGTAGTATCTGTGTATGTATATACACACCTAAACACAAAAACACACCTACACATACAACACACGTCTACAAAAACACACACACACACATACATACATCACACATGTACCAATTCCTTTGTTAACACTCGATTAGCTTTCACCGCAAAGAAATTGTGGAGAAGCTGTGTGTCAGTGGGTCTTGCAGAAGCTAAATTTCTGTATACTTGTCAGTGTGTTTGTCTGTTTGTTTGTCTGTGTGTGTGTTTATGTGTGTTTATGTGTATATATGTGTGTTTATGTGTGTCCGCGTGCGTGCGTGTGTGTCAGTAGAATTTTTTTAAATATTTTAAATTCCGGCTTGAAGAAGATTTTTTCAAAATGTTTGCAACTTTATGCTTTTTAATGGAATTACTCAAAATTTGTTAATAAAACACACACACACACACACATACATACACACCACACCTCACACACACACACACAACTTACGTGAATGCGTGTAAGCCCATTCATCAGAGGTAAGGGTAGCGAAAGGGGTCACACGCATTTAAACATGTGTCATAACCATTACACCAAAATGCTACATCAGTTTTTGGTACCATGTAGATCCCTTGTGCATTTAAGCGGTAATTAATTTTTTTGTGGTATTTCATTCCTAAGTAGTAATTCTACATCAATCTGGTTTCTTTTTCGAACTGATTGAGTGACTGACGGTGGTGAGCGGTGTTGATGGATGGATGAATAGATAATTATGTAGTTGGATGGGTGGATGGATGGATGGATAGATGGATGGATGGATGGACGGATGGATAGATGGATGGATGGATAGCTAGATAGACCGATAGTTAGATAGATAGATATATGAATGAATGAATAATGATGATATTCGTAATATTGTGAAAAATGATTGATTGAATATGTGAACAAACGAACAGATGAACGAGCGAACGAATAAACCAACGAATGAATAAAAAACAAACGAACGAACGAACGAATGAACGAATGAATGAAAATGTGCCCAATTGAACGAATGGACAAATGAAAGAATAATTAAAAAGCGCAGATAACAACGTTAAATTAATTATGGTATGTCGTGATGGGAGGAACAAACAGAAAAGAAAAAAAATTATAAATGATGGACTGATTGAATGAATGAATGATTGATTGATTGATTGATTGATTGATTGATTGATTGATTGATTGATTGATTGATTGATTGATTGATTGATTGATTGATTGATTGATTGATTGATTGATTGATTGATTGATTGATTGATTGATTGATTGATTGATTGATTGATTGATTGATTGATTGATTGATTGATTGATTGATTGATTGATTGATTGATTGATTGATTGATTGATTGATTGATTGATTGATTGATTGATTGATTGATTGATTGATTGATTGATTGATTGATTGATTGATTGATTGATTGC